TGGATACCTCTACCCATCTGGCGGCTACACATAGCTGAAGAGGCTGTCAGATGGTCCTCTCATGTTCTGTTATGACGAGTCTTCGAGTGGATTTTTCATGATCAGTTAGGACCGCTTATTGGTCTGCTTACTCTGTCCTTTCCTAGCCGGAACCGGGTAATGGCCTCCGGGTCGGGAGGGGGGGGGGGGGGAAGCTCATTGCAGATGTAAGGGATGCTGGGCCCGCCTTGCAGCATGTGCTCCTCCCCACCAATAGACCGGAGCACTCAGCAGGTCTGATAGAAAGAGATGCTCATATCGCTCCATCTAGCAGAACATCGCTGCCGGATTTTTCAAAAGAGATGCTCATATCGCTCCATCTAGAAGAACATCGCTGGCGTTTTTTCCAACAACAAGTTAACAACCGAAAAAAAAAAAAAAAAAAAAAAGGCAATCGCAACATCTCCACATGAGCGAGTGCGCACTCACCACTCTTCTGATAGGCTTGAAATGGTAGTAGCAGAACACACGAGTGATTGACGTTTAACAAGATGGAAATAATCACAGCAAGTAGTTGCACTTACCACTCTATCTGATGGGCTTGAGCCTTGAGGTGATGAAATCCTTAAAAACTGTGTGATGACAAATGATCCCATTCTTGGGCAACAAAACTCCGCACCGGAGGCAAGCGAAAAAACTGTCAGAGAAACCCACGTATCAGTATCAGACTATCATTACCATCTTCACTCAAATAGAACGCCCGGTCATTATCACTGTATCTAGACTGAAAGTTGGCCCAAATACGGCTATAATGACCGGGCATTCAATTCGGGTGAAGACGGTAGTTGAATAATGGAGTACGACAACAACACAACACAACACTAAGAGTCCACTCATCGGAAGTCGTGGCAGCCGCACCCCAGAATAGATGGGTGGGGTATGAGCGAATGTTGTATTTGAATTTTGAAGAAAACAGAAGTATTGGCAGGGCATATTAGGGGAAGGTCCCCGGAAGGAAACTGCCATATGTTCGTTCTCAAATGGGACACTGGGCCCGGTCCCCAGCACGTGTTGCTCCTCACGAATAGATGGAGCATTTGTCCCAATTAAACAAAAAAAAAAGGGGGTGGGGGGGGATGGGAAGACAACTGCGGTGTAAAGTCTGTGGAATGACTCTACAGCCTCCAACGACAAAGTCTTGAAAAAAAAAGAAAAAAAACAAAAGTTACAAAACAAAACAAAGGTGAGATCTCCAGCCTCCAAAAACCGAATCTACGACTGGCAGCCTGAGATGAAATGGCTGCATGTTTTTACATCGTCAACGACGTCAAGTGACAAATCCATGTCCTCCGGGACATCCGTTAAAAATGCAACGATACAGAGAAGGGTAATTAGCACAGCCCCTGCGCAAGGATGACACGCATGATCGAGAAAAATGGTCCAAATTAAAAAAAAAAAAAAAAAACTAAAAGTGACAAATCTAAAATTCAGATTAATTTTATATGGATAACAGTCTTGACTCTTGAGTAGTGAAGTCGTATTTTTCCCGGCCTCTGTGTATGATATCCCAATTGCAGTCATATTCATTGACAGTATGAAGTACTATGAAGTAGTATGAACGGAACTCAGGGATATCTTTGCAACCCCCTTTATTCTGTTCATTGGGGATTTGAACTCCCGTCTGTATTTCAACATTTCAACAGTTCATGGGTGGGTCCACTGAGCTAGGCTGTCTCCTACTTCCCCATTAAAAAAAAAAAAAAAAAAAAAAAAGTTAAAAAACACGATTACTTTACAGTTCATTGATCCAACAATCTGTCATTGAACAACTTGAAAAGCAAACACCTTGACCAAATCGAGGTAAACAAGAGAGAGTCGACCTGGCCTTTCGTATCGAGTCCAGAGAAATTTACAAAACTCAAAATGCCGATATGCACTGGAACTGCTGGCTTGAGATGCACATTGGGACACACCAAATACACACTCATCAGCCTGCACTCACACCAGTAAGGGACCATCGCATGGTCCTCTTTCCAAAAGCAGTTGCCACTCTCTCTTTGCTATCCACCATCTCTCTCTCTCTCTCTCTCTCTCTCTCTCTCTCTCTCTCTCTCTCTCTCTCTCTCTCTCTCTCTCTCTCTCTC